ACTTCCGCCTCAACCCAATTAACCAACGTTACCTGGGGTCTGGCCAGCCCCACAAGGTGAGAGTGTGTGTGAGTGTCTGTGTGTTAAATTGGGTTAAGGATCAGATGTAAATTGTTAATTGTTCCATTTAAATGTTGCTTTTAATGCCTTTTCATGTTGTGAGGCCTTTTAAAGTCTTTTAATGCTGTTTTAATTGTTTAGTACTAAATATACATATATAGAGAGAGCTTTTAAAACTGCTCCTGATTTGCATGTAATAAAACTCGTTAAAGGTATGTTTAAGATACTGTGAAAGACTCTTTTGTTCTGTGAATGCTGAACCCAATGGGTAGTGTGATATGGATTGATCAACCAGGTCACAGCGCCCCCTTGTGACAAATGCAGATTGGAGACACAAACATTTGGTGAATTCATGTTGAATTTTGCCAATTTTTGATTGATTTAAAAATCAGAGAAGTGGGAAGCCGGCAGATTTTGCTATTTTCAATATCAAACCTTCTGAGTTTTCAGTTGTGAGTTTTTTTAAAATGGAAAAGCCCCTTTATGCTGTCACAGCAGCTCACCGGGATCTGAGTGTCACTGAAAAACAGGCTCCATCATTCTCAAGTGGCAGAATTTTATACCTGCCTTGCGTTCGTCTCTGGTGACGCCAGGGCTAAGCCAATAGATGCATGCCCACACGCTCCCTTAGATCAATTTGAAGTAGCATAAAAGCTGATGCGAGGCTTTTCTCTATAACTACGCTTAATGCTGGGATGACATAAGCTGCTTATTATATCATTAAAAAAGCCCAAACTTGGCTAGGGACCTTGTATCAATTCATCTTCACAAAGCTCTTTGAAATGTCAGAGGAGCCTAACATGTAAATATTCTCCAGGGGGCGCATCAGTACAAGATGCTGCTTTGTCAGGTGATGTCGACACTGGGACCGTCTGGCAACGGAAGGGCTGTCGATATGCAAAAGTCGTCATACGTGAAAACCAGTCAGACTGGTTTTTTTCTGCCTCCCGTTGTAATTTCCTGGCCACATGGCTAGCACCCTGTTGACAGGCACAGACAAGCATTGTGGGCAAGCATCCCACAGTGCAGTGCAGTGGGAAGGCAGAGCTGATCCCTGTGCCTCTTCGGATTCCCACGTGGCTCAGTGAGCTCTCTGTGCTGAGGAATGTCCAACCAGCACTGAGGGGCACAGCCTGCAGGGCAACAGAGACCACACAACACTGAGCACAGCCAGCAGGGCAGGTCTGGTGGGATACTGGAGGAAGCCAGTTCTCTGGAAAAACTAACAGCAGAGTCCGCACTGGCTCTTTGTGACAAAAAACTTCTAGCCCTGTGAGAGACTTTTGTCTTCTCCCCTCCCTTTATTGTCGCCAAAACTGGGTGTTTTCCCCAACAAAAGTCGCCCGGCAGCGGAAACATTCTGACTGTTGCGTTGACAAAAGGCAGTTTTTGGTGACAAAAGATGCCGGTGTAAACAAGGCCTCCACTTGACAGGCAACTGTGAATAAATTCATCATCACAAAGCTCTTTGAAATATCCAAGGAGCCTAAAATGTGAATATCCCCCAGTATCAGAGGGGTAGCCATGTTAGTCTGAATCTGCAAAAACAATGAGGAGTCCTGAGGCATCTTCTAGACTAACAGATTTATTGGCGCATGAGCTTTCGTGGGCAAAGACCCTGCATACATCTGACGAAGTGGGTTTTTGCCCATGAAAGCTCATGCTCCAATAAATCTGTTAGACTATAAGGTGCCACGGGACTCCTCATTGTTTTTGCAATATCCTCCAGGGGGCGCATCCGCGCTTCCACAGCGCAAGGTGCACGACTCTTAGCTCGCTGCAGACATCCTGCAGCTTTGGACGGTGGGCAAACCTCATTCTGTTGAGTCTCCCGGGACCTTTGCTTTGTTCTTTGTTTTGAACTTTAAGCATCTGTTTAGGGGACAGCTTTCCAATCTCAGTTCTTAGCCCTACTTCAACTGCTGAGCTCATCCCTGGGGCCGCTTGGAGTCAGGCCACACGGGTTAAAAAGCGACTGTTTGATCTGACAACCTGCGTAACCCCAACGATGCCTGAATTGTTTAGGAGCACCGCCCGGCAGGGCAGGTGGAGTCACACGGCCGTGCAGCGTTAGACATACTCTGAGGCAGTGGTCCCCAACCGTTTGGGACTGCTGGGCGCCTGGGGGTGGGGCCAGTCACGTGCTGGGCACCGGGGGGCAGGGCTGCGCCCAGGCCCGGGGCCACCCATACACCGCATGCCCAGCGGGTCCGCCCATACGCCGCGTACCCGGGGCTGGCACAGCCCATGCACCGCGCACCTGGGGGCGGGTCCGCCCATACGCCGCGTACCCGGGGCTGGCACAGCCCATGCACCGCGCACCTGGGGGCGGGTCCGCCCATACGCCGCGTACCCGGGGCTGGCACAGCCCATGCACCGCGCACCTGGGGGCGGGTCCGCCCATACGCCGCGTACCCGGGGCTGGCACAGCCCATGCACCGCGCACCTGGGGGCGGGTCCGCCCATACGCCGCGTACCCGGGGCTGGCACAGCCCATGCACCGCGCACCTGGGGGCGGGTCCGCCCATACGCCGCGTACCCGGGGCTGGCACAGCCCATGCACCGCGCACCTGGGGGCGGGTCCGCCCATGTGCTGCACACCCGGGGCCGGCCCCGATCACTCAGCGGGCGCACAGAAATGGCCCACGTTGGGGACCACTGCGCTGAGGTCAATAGCATGAAATTCAATAAAGAACAAATGCAAAGTGCCCCACTGAGGAAGGAACAATCCGTTTCCCACACACAGAGGGACGTGGCTGTCTAGGGAGGAGTCCGGCAGAAAGGGATCTAGGGGTTGTAGTGGACGACAAGTTAAACATGAGTTTATAGTGGGACAACTGTTGCAAAAAAAGCAAACGTGATTCTGGGCTGCATGAACGGGAGAGCTGTGAGCAAGACACGAGGAGTCCTTGGGTATGGCTAGGCTACATCTCTCAGTTGCCAGAGGGATGTCAATTAGACATTCCGAAGCGGGGATTCAAATCTCCCACGTGTCATTTGACTAAACATGACCGCTGCGTTTTGCCGAGTCAGCAGTTTGTCAGCAAAAAGTGGCTGTCAAGACGGGGATTGGGTAGCCCTGATCTAGACAGAATTTGGTCCTGTGGTGAGGGCAGGGGACTGGACTCGATGACACCCGAGGTCCCTTCCAGCGCTCGTGTTCTGTGATTCTACGATTTCTATAAAATGGCAAAATGTTACTGAATCTGCATTAGCCAGTGATGTTCCCGATTCAGCCTCAGTCCACTGGCTGAATAGACTGTCTCCGTTCCCAGCCACTGCAGGGATTTCAGGTCTGCCTCACTCCCTCCTGTGCGGGGCCCACAGCACATGCAGGTGTCGCCTGGGGCTGTGATATTGGGTCTCATGCTGCCGTCCATGTGCAGGCGGGTCGCTGCGATGGGCCGTGCTAGGCAGGTTGGGCGAGAGGATGGAGTGGTCCCTCACGCTGCGAGCCGTGAAGGAGGGGAGCTGCATGCCATGTTGGGGCTCGGAGGAGAGCCCTGCGATCGGGAATGTGGGGTCTAGTCCCAGTTCTGGGGCTGGGATCTGCGGTGCCCCTGGAGTGGAGGATGCTGGGATGGGGGGGGTGTAGTTACTGGCCTTCCCCTGAGATCGTCTGCTCTGTAATCTGCGGTCCCCCTGCGCTGGGCTGCGATTCCCACTAACTCACCCACGTGGGGATTGGCCCAGACACCCCGGCCCAGGATCGGGAATGTGGGGTCTAGTCCCAGTTCTGGGGCTGGGATCTGCGGTGCCCCTGGAGTGGAGGATGCTGGGATGGGGGGGGTGTAGTTACTGGCCTTCCCCTGAGATCGTCTGCTCTGTAATCTGCGGTCCCCCTGCGCTGGGCTGCGATTCCCACTAACTCACCCACGTGGGGATTGGCCCAGACACCCCGGCCCAGCCTGGACAGGAAACAAGGCTCTTCCCAGGGGGAGACAAAGGGAGGGAGGGGGAGACGCCACCCGGCTGGGGGCAGGGCTGGGAGGGAGGCAGGTCCTGGCTGGGAACCATGAAGGGGACAGACTAAGCTGGGGGCTGAGGGTCTGGGGGGCGATGGATCCCCTCCCCCAAGGGTCTGAGGCTGCCGGGCCCTGACTCCTGGGGCCACGTCCCAGCTGGGCT